GTAAAAATAATAGAACCAGATAAACCATAGAGAGTAACATCAGTAGAAAGGGACAGATGAAGAATAGGAAAAATGGTCTCAATAATTCAGAACCTAAAAAAAAAGTATGTCAATAATAGACTCACACATTGCAATGAATTAAATTGGTGTATAATTTAGTCGTATGAGATATTATAGCATCTACGAATAAATTTAACTTCAATCTAAAACTTATATAGTGGTCACTGGTCGGTGACGCAACTCTAAAAGTCTAGTTTCAATTTTCACGTAACACTTGTTGAATCGTTTTAGACCGTGATGATGTACAAACGTTTTTAATTTCTAAATACGACATATCGTTATAATACGATCAATAATCATTGTTAACGTTATTTAAGTTGGTTTCATCTTGCTTAAATAATACAATAAAATGATTATAAATAATACGAACATGAAAATATCGACATCAATAATATTGTTCGACAAAAAATTAGTAAGGAGATATAACGTAAGTCTTCGTGTCAAAATGGGTGATTTATTTACTTCAGCACATCCAATGATTGTAGTTTTTATTAAAAATGTATTAGCTATATACAGACGAATTCTTACACACGAATAAATTCTGCCGATCTAATAATGAAAGTAATGAAAGTAGGATAATCAGAACTCAACAAAAAACTAATATGCCACTATTTTTAAGAATTAAAATCCTATATTTAAATTGTTTAGTAAATTTAGCCTAAAAAATAAATCCAATTATTTTTCGGCCATTAATCATTGTCTAAAGTTAAGTATTATTGTATTAACTTGAATAATAAACTATATTTTACTAATATATTTACAAGTATGATGATTTCATTGAGGTTTCTAACAGTTGTATAATAATATAGTTTAATAAACTGGTGAAGTTATTGACCAAAAGATTTAGTCAACTTTCGTGTTCAGTGTTCAGAGTACTATCATCTTAAATCATCATGACGACAATAATCATATTTATAGACTAAGACTATAGTAATCAGGGTCGTACTTTGAGGGAGGGTGTCTTCCCCCCCACAATCATGATTTTTCAATATTTAATCGGCAAATCTGACACCTGGTCGAAGTGGTCGCCGGTCGGTAATTCGATATCGTTAGAATTTTAATAGTATTTTTATTATTTTCAAGAAATATTTGTACATTTATTTTACATTGACATGTATAATATGTCTTATGGCTGGGGGTCATTCAGTTAATTTGTGCGACACCGAGAATGTTCCATGACGTTAGAGCGTTTTATGTAATGTGTGTGCGTCAACCGGCGGTGACCGGTTACCGGAAATTAGCAGTTAAACGAACGTTATCGGAATCGCGGTGGCGTGTGATCTAGTAGTAACATTAGCCGGGCTCGGATTTATATGCATTTACATGTTTTTTCTGAATAGTCCAAGAAATAGCTAGTTAAGTTACAAGTTTGATTTTTAGTCAATAGATCTTAAATTTAAAGTTTTATTTTGCTTTTTTTTTTGCATATTTCGTAACTTTTTGACATGCACTGCATATTTCTGTATTTTACGATTTTTTTTTTTAATTGCATATATATGGTTTTTAAATGCATAATATTATGTAAAATTTTGCTTATTTTAATTAAAATAACGTATTTATAATTCATATAATCTGGAAAAGTCGTTTTCTTATCTTATCTGAGACGTATTGGGATAAGTAGTAATCTGTCATTGAGTAAATTTTAGTGAATCATACATTCGTCGTGTTTATCGTGATCCGTGTGTGCATAACTTTCATTCGATTTTATTTATCTATATTTAAGGGGTCTGGTCGTGATTATTTAATAAGGAGTAATATTTAGGCAATCTGTAAGCTCTGATGCTGTTCAAGCAGATGGAAATATTAATTGGGATGTGCAATGATAGTGATTCAAGTACATTTGATACTCTTATGATTAAATCTGGAGAAATTAAACATATTTCACCATAAATTAATAAAATCTGAAAATTAGCCTTGACTGCACTTGTTCATTTAAAATATACATATGTAATAAACAATAAATTAATGTTAGAAATCATAAATTCGTCACAATAAATTAAAATAATAATAAAATAAATATAAAATTAGTTTGCCTATAAATAGCATATAAACATGAAATAATATTAGTGTCTATGGCGCATGCGCGTTAACAATTCGACCAATTCGGGTATCGAATATATACACGGATGGGTCCGTGTACGCTTTATCTACACGGGCACTCGGGTATCTAGATACAGCGTAGAATATTCTTTGGTCTTGTACTTAGATCATATGATCTAAGGTCTTGTAGTGTTTTTATCAGTTTGATGAATTTAAAAATTGATAAGTGATAACATCGCTATTGAATCACTGATTTAGTGATTTACTATTAGTATTTTACTCCTATGTAGCAAACCGTAAAAGTATAAGATTAGCTTACTGAAATTTTTTGGTTGTCCTTCAAAATGTCTTATAAATATTTAAAAAAGGTAAGCATATCGATTGTATATTGAAACGAAACAATTGCGTTGTAATAATTGTTAGCATTCATACCTGTTTTAACACAATTCGTAAAAATATATGCTATGTTACAATTATTAATAATGTTATAATGACCTTATCAGCAATACACACGTTAGTCATATTTTTATGTTACTAATGAACATCAATACTGTTTTTAGACAACTGGTCTTACAAGACTTAATGTAGCAAAAAGTCCACACTATACTCTAGGAGTGTTATATGGGAAGATTCTGCGAACATTGCGTAAAATGCCAGAGGACGCTGCATATCGAAAATATACTGAGCAAATAATTAGTAATAGAGCCAAAATCGTTCAAGAAGTATGACTATTGTAACATAATTGTAAATCAGGTATATAATTGACTCATTTTTCATTTAGACTGTTGCAGTGGAAGATTTTGAAAAGAAAATTGATTGTGGACAAGCTGAAGAACTTATTGTACAAGCTGAAAATGAATTGATTTTATCTAGACAGATGTTGGCTTTTAAACCATGGGAATCATTAATTGTCAAACCAAGTGCTGAACAATGGGCCTGGCCTCCATCTAAGTGATTTAGTTAAATATTATAAAATAGTTAATTTCAATATGATAGATACTTTAAATATGTACTCTACACAATTTTGAATTTTTATTAATAAAGTGAAACATAAAATAATGCTTTTTATTTGAATAATTAGTAAATAATAATCTATGTGTAAAGTGTATTTAATATATTTAATAATATAATGTGAAATAAAAAACATGTATTATTTAAAAAATGAAAACAAAAATATAATTATTGCATAGAATAAAACAATGCGTGTTAAAAAATATGTTAGAAAATATTTTATATATAAAATACAATTAATGGTAAATAATTACATACTAAATTATCTTAATTGAATTCATATAAATATGAATTAATTTAACAATAACAATAATCAAAATATTAATCTACAAATATAATTACAAACATTAATAAAACTTTAATTAAGCTGAGCATTCTTTTCACAATAGTTTGCAAAAATAATTAAATAAGATATCGTGATTGTGTTGAAGTAACTTATGTTGATTCTCGTTGTCTGGATGGAACATAACTTACAACTTCTTCCCAAACAAGTTCTATAACAAAAGTTAAATATGTTATTTTTAAAAATACACTTATTTATTTTATTAATCTGAAATATATTTTTTTATAAAGATCTTTCAATAGATTGCAGTGTGCATGCTTAGATACACACAAACATTTAGTTCATAAATTGACATTCAACAATTCAAGTACAAAAAAAATTAATATTAACTAATAAAATAATCACAAGAATTTCAGGTTATGTAATAAAAATATTAATTGAAATATTTATGTATAAGGTGTATAATAACTTTTGATGACCATTAAATAATTTAATTATCTAATTTGTACACCTTATTCTTAGAATACAGGTTAGTACATATTGTATTATTTTAATTGGAGAAGCCATTAATAAATACATTTATAGTATAAATTATTTTTGTTGAAAAGCTATATTTTTTTTACAAATGGCATGAATAATTTTGTTTTTAAATAAACTCAAATAATGAATAATACAAAATATTAAGAATACGTCACCTTTCCATTTTTCTACATCTAATTCCATATCTTCAAAGCTTTGATCATAAGGAGGTGAATTTGGTTCATCAGTCGGATCAGCATATTGTGCCAGGTATGGATGTGCAAGTGCTTTTTCAGCAGTCATTCTTTTATCAGCGTCCAATTCCAACATTTCTTCTAACAGTTTAATTGCTGTCCTCAAAGTAATTAATTAAAAAAAAAAATTATTATTATTATTATGAAATTATTTATACAATAATTTTTAAATAAAAATTTACCCAATGGATTAGCTCCTTTGAATACTTCACCGAAATCTTTTTTCAGCATTACTGGTAAAGACTGAATGTATTTTTTTGCCTAAAATAGTAAATAAAAACTTATAACACAATATATTGATTTAAGCAAATATTACCACAACCAAATAAATGACAAATATAAGACACACAAACCTCTGAGCTTTTAATTTTATTTAAATATTCATCAGATGGTGCTCCACACAAAACTAACACACGTGTTAAATGATCCACATCTAATTTTAGACGTTAAGGATTATAAGCTTATTTAAAAGATATTACATGGCACTTACCGATTCACTGGATATCTTTTGCATCAGTTCATTTGATGGGGTGCCTAATATTTCCAAAATCAAATTTAATTGTTGTATGTCTTTAATATCTTATAAGAAAAATATATTCTATGTTAGATTTTCTTTAACAGTAAATTAGTATGGAAGACTTAAACTTATTAAAAAAGGATACGATCAGTTCCAGGAAATAATGTCCTTCCTGTTAAAAGTTCAGCCATAATACAGCCTACTGACCAAATATCAACTAAAAATAAAAATAAATAATAATGGGACATTAGTAATTTATACAATAAAGAATATGCATTTCTATTTTTAAAAATAAATCATATTTATCCTTTTATGTAAAGTATTTTTTTCACCTATGCATATTTTAATGATAATAAAGTACATAAATGCATACATTTTTTACATGTTGATAGTATATAATATAATTCTGTGTCCTAATAAATATATTATATATTATGTATATGAATTAAACCTGTTTGATTGTAATGCATCCAGTTTAACATTATCTCAGGTGCTCTGTACCATCTAGTAGCCACATATCCAGTCATTTCACTTTCAGTTGGTCTTGCTAATCCAAAATCTAATATTTTTAATTCACAATCTTCATTTACACCAATATTTGATGGTTTTAAATCCTAAATAAATTGTAAATAATCAGTAATGAAATAACCAATTTTACATAATATGTTAATAAATTTTACATACTCTATGGATTATTCCAGCAGAATGGATGTACTTCAAACCTCGTAAAATTTGGTAAACAAGAAATTGGACATGATCATCAGACAGTTTTTGTGTACGTATGATATTGTTTAAGTCAGCTCCCATTAAATGTGTGACCATATACCTATAAAAAAAATAAATAAATTATTAAGAATATATTAGTTTTAAATTATACATAAACTTACAATTGATTAAAATTATTTATAGTATTTGTAGGTGTGAAAACATCTAATAATCCAATTACCTAAACATTAAAAATACACAATTAATTTTAATAATTTGGTTAAATGTATTTATTATATCTATAATATTCCCTCACAAATAAACAGAGTTCAGAACTTAAAGCACCTAAAATAATCAAAATAAGTATTTAAAAAAGCACATATAAACTCAATTATAAGCAACCAATGAAGATAAGCAAAAACAAGCAAAATTAAGATCTTTCTTTTTTTTCCTATAAATTCCTTTAGATATGTAACATTTAAAACTGCACTTTCAGGTAACTCAACTTTTCCCACTAAAAATGTATCAATAAAATTAATATAAGAACACAAATAATGCAAAAAGAAGCATGACTTAAATCACAGTGATGGTATAGCCCAAGATCATTAATATAGTAAAAATCTATTATAGCTTTTGTTTCTAGCAGCATTATTAACAAAACATTAGAAATGTTGAATACTTTTATTTCACAATAAGTAGCCACAATGGACAAAACAGATAGCAAAAATAAATAAAAACTAAAGTATTTAGATCGAATTTACTACCATAAGTTAACTATAAAATTGAATTTTACAATAAATGTTTTCAAGTAAAAAAAAAAAAAAAAACAAACACGTTATTGTTAAATCAATAAATTCATTGCTTAGCCCAAAATCTAAAACTAAAAAAAAAAAATACCAAAATAGGTAACAAAACAATTTTATAATTGAAATTGTAATACAACATAATTTTTATGCATTCTATTTAAAGAACAAAAGAAACAAAATCAAATGCTTTAAATCCCAAAATCCTTTTAGAAAAGAAAAAAAACAACTAGTTATTATAATTTTTATTAAGAACTGGGTTTTTCAATTAAATATTGAGTGTCTTAGGATATTAGTTAGATAAGAAAGTATGATAAATTTAACCAGTATTATAAAGTCATTCAATTTTATAGTATTTAAAAAGTTATAATACTCAATTAATATTTTTATTGTATAATATATTTGAAAACAAATGCCTTCAATGTATAAAATAATAAGTAGATATTGCAGTTAACTGATGAGCAAAATAATCAAAGCATGGTTTTTTAATATAATACACTTCAATTCCATGCACTGAAATTAAAAAAATTGCCTATTACTTAAGTATATTTACGTGAAATGAAGTTTAATATTAACAATTTATTGATTATTATTAAAAAATGACATACATTTTCATGGTTCATGTGTTTTAACATGCGAAGCTCTCTATAGGTACGTTTAGCATGAACCGCTGATTGAAATGGTCTGGCAAGTTTTTTGATAGCAACTTTCAGCCCAGTCTGATTGTCTACAGCTGAGCTGTAAAATACAAATAAAAAAAAAAATCATGTAGTTTGTTGAAAATTAGAAAAAAACTTGGTAATATTCAATACCAAACTTGTCCATATGCGCCGAGACCAACTGGAGTGAGCATTTGATATCTATCGGGTACTTCCCATTCAGTCTTGTTAATTTCGATTTTGTAATATTTCATCGTGAAACGCTGGTTGACAGTCTGAGACGGACCTATGACTATAAATTATAATATTATAACATAATATAAAAACTGTACCGAAATAATATTTTTGTGTACAATTGAAATTTGAAGCTTATCAAATAAACGTGCTCTCGAGATACGAATGAATATTATCGAATCATCTTTGTTTATTTTGAGTTGTAAAGTGGTGAGCTTCGGGAGTGTGGGCTGCTTCAGCAATTCTGCGCCGCCTAAGCACCTACTTAAATAGTTAATAGCTATAGTGGGTCTAATAATTTTTTATTCGAAAAAAAGAAAAGTTCAAGATTATGTTTCCGAACTGTCGACTGTGATTGGTAGACAACGCAGTTTAAATGTGGGCTTTTGCTTTGCTACTGAATCAAAATATTATATAATACAATAGATATTACAGAATAATAATTCTGTGATAATATATTATGATAAATTGATAACCTGCAGCTGATTACGACTTACGAGCGTTGCGTTCACAAAATAACAGAAAACGTTAATAAATAATAATGTTATTAATTAATAATTAGTAATAATTGCTATTACCATAACAATCAAAAGTCTAAACTTCTTCAAGCTTCGTTCTTGTTTTGACTTAGTGACGTGGGATTCGCAGACTGTATAGACAGTGGAGTGAGTTGTGGTCTTCCAAGCATTTACAACAAATCGAAAGTTTCTAAAACGAAATTCATTATTATTTATTTGATAAAACAGAGTCATTAATTTAAGATAATATTTAATACATCGTAAACGTATGTGATTAGATAGATAGATAGATACCAACTGACCAATTCGTAATTAATTACCAACAATCAATTGCTATAACGTGTAGAAGGTGGATATCGTACAACTCACTGTAACTATAGTGTACTGCGGAAATTTAGAACTATCTTCGTAGAATACCTGTTATATAGTGTTAAGTGTTTACAGTTATTTTAATTTGTCCTTGCTAGGTAGTAGGTTACTATAATAGTCTTAATGCATGGCGAAATACGTCAATATATTAGATACGTACATAACCACGATGGACATTTGAAGATATTATATTACTAAATATCTTTATTCTTAAAATTGTGTTCACATTGTTCACATCATTCACGACCAATGACGTTATCAGCGATCACTAATTTCGAAGGTCAATATTTATCATCATCATTATTACTCACAGATTTCTATATTGGTATGGAAGACAGTTGTTGTTCTATAATTTATTATTAGGTATATGAAAATCGAAAATCGTCAACCGAAACATCGTTATCGTCTAAAATCTATGCAATAAGCTATATTATATTGTATAATAATGTCGTCGCTTCACGCTGACACGTTTAATTTCCTACGTAGTACGTACAACATCGAACGTGCACGCTTTGTCGAATATAGACTACAGTGAGTACCTAGTACCTACTACCTACACACGGTAAATTCACTTTCCAGTTTTCGTGCATTTTTCACTTGTATCTTATATAATTAAGAGAAATAAAAAATATCAAATAATTGATTTTTCTGTTTGATACATTATAATTAAATAGGTATATTTTTATCAAACGACGATTTTATGTTGGATATCTTGTGAGTGGTATCTAACTGATCAGTTTTCAATTTCCTTTCGGCTAATTTCGATGCAATAGAAAATGTGACCTATTATTTAAGACAAACATGTTTTCTCCATTGCATGTCTAAATGATTAAATCATTGATGGTATTTTGAATATAATTTTAGATTTCAATGGTACCTGCTAATACAGTACTATAACACTTGGCTACTGCCAATTGCAAATTTCAATGAATTGTAAAATGTACATCTGTCTATTATTATTATTAATGCATACCTACTTATTTTAAATATTAATTTTTTGTTTTTTTTTTTTTTTTTATATACTTTCAAGTTTCAATAAGATGATCTATCAATTTAAATATGCAGGTACTTATGTAATATATTTATTAAAATATTTGAAAATTATTTTTTTTATTTTTTTATAGTATATATAAATAATGTAATAATAATTTATGAGCCAAAATGGCTGTGCCGGTGTCGATTTTCTAAAGTTTCCATAGTTCTGTAAGATTTTTTCTTTTTTTACAAGTAATAAACAATTTATCAAAGTCCTACTCCTAGTATAGTACCATTATACTACAAACTACAACGTATAAGGTCTATGCAATTTATACAATTTAGCACAGTGCAGGTTCCCTGCAACCTCTTCTATTTTACGCTCCCTTTGTAGATTTTCAAAAAACTCGCCCTCCCTATATAAATTCAATAAAAGTATCGTTTTTTTTTTTTTTTATTAATACTTTACAAATAAGCTGTACAATCAGTGCTATCTCAAGACACGGGCGAACATGGTGGTCGCCTCCAGAATAAGGGCGCCAGAGACGCATTCGAAGGTGTAGTAAGAATTGTAAAAACTTATACATTTTTTTTTTTTTTAGTTAACGATTTAATAAACTAATATAAATATATTAATTTAATAATATACATTACAATAATATTACCATGCACCGTGACTACAACTTTGGGGCACAATGACTTATAAGTTATAATCATTGTCACTGCCGCTGCCGTACCAATTTATCTGACGCCGATGATTAGATATGAATTTACACGTTCGTCGTGTTATATATCATGAAACGAATTTTCATTATTGTGGAAAAATTATTCAAAATTAAATTATTTGTATAATTGGAAACTTACCGAAACAATATAGGTACTAGATCGAGTTAAAAAAGCTAAATATTATAGTATTATATTGGATTGCATTCAGAACATTAGTCACGTTGAACAACTTTCTTTGACTTTAAAATCATTTGATACAGATAAGAATGTGCGCTAATGAAAATTTTATAATGTTTGAACCAATAAATGATTCGTCTGGTGAGGGAATTGATAAAACTATACAATAATGTATAATTGTAAACTAGAATTAAGTAACAGTAGATGTCAGAGATATATAACAACGGGGCGAATATGAAGGGTAAAAATAAAGGCATACAAGCAAGAATATTATGAGCCAATTCTCGAGCTTTTTTTTATGCCATGTGATTGTCATTTACTGAACTTAGTTGTTGGAGATAGTGTTTCTTGTTCTATTGAGTCAAAAACTTCTCTGGAGCGATTTATCTTTGTTCTCTGCATCTGTGGGTCGCTTATCACTCATATTTAAAAAAAAAACAAGTTAACTTCGCCAACAAGATTCATTTGGTTATAAAACTCACTTTGTGCTGATCCCAAAGTGAGTCTTATAAGTGGCATCCTCTATATTATTGAAAATTTGGTATTTAGGGCTGTCAATTGTCATAATTTAAAATTATATTTTATATTAAAGTTTCCATTTTAAATAAAATAATTTTCCATTAATCTATTGCTTGATACTTATTTAAGAATTAAGGGTGAGTATGGTGTTGGTGTATTCATGAATTATATTAATAAAATTACTTCACTGGAAAAACTCTCAAGTCTTAAAGAGTTTTTAGATTTTGATAACCAATTTTTTATTTTATTTAAATAATGGTATAAAATAATACTTTGTAAAAAATTCTAAAATTTTTTTTTTTTTAAGATATATTATAAATTTGGAGATTAAAATGTTAAAGAATTGAGTTTAATGCGGGCTATAGAATAGTTCTGTTTATTATTTAAAAATAAAATAGGTTGTTAAATTTGGTCGACTCTATAAGACAGTATTAGAATACTCGTAGTGTATTTAAAAAAAGTGGATATAGAAGTGATTTTTAAAATTGGAAATAACAATTAGTATCATTGTATGCATGGTACATATTTGTTAGTAAATAGGTCAGATAAGTAGCTTACTGATCAATATTTACATAGATAAATACATTATAATATTACATTATTTTATTAATATTAAGGTGATAATGTGTGGTTGCCATAGATTGGAACCACGGTTGTAGATCTATTATAACATATGTTTTATGAGTTCTGCTGTGGTATCTCAACCATGATAAGGATATACTGCGTATGATGTATGACGTCACACCGTGGATCTATATCACAATAATATTGAATAATGTCAGTGGCTATCACAGATACATATATTTTGTGGTGGCTAAATAGTGCATAATATTATCCTTATCCATTAGCCGCCCGTCACCGGATCGTTTAATATCGCGATCTCTGATATGGATATGGAATTGTATTAATACAATTAACTCATAACTGTATTGGCTTACCGAACTGCCGATGCAGTCGAAATCTTCGGTTCTTGAGTAGTTGAGTTATTGAGTTGACTGAATCGTGAGCTTGAAGTTAAACACTGTGAAGCCCGGGCGGTGGCAACATCAGTGAACGGCATAATTCTATCATACTTTATGTAAACATACTTGGTGTATTCAAACTTTTGATTTACGTCGGTCAACCCTGTAAAAATGGTTTGCGATGACGACAATGATTTCATTCGTGGTATATTTTGCCCACATGTGGCAGTCTTGTGTTCAGACAAGGCTCAAGAAATCTGTCGCAAAAACAATCTGAGTTTCAGTGATCTGCTTAATCCATATTCTCGGCTGACAGATGGTAAGTACGCCCAGGAAATACCCACACACCGTTTCACTATGATACCTATTTGAAATATTGTGCTTATAGTTAATTTCAAAGATGCCAATGGTAGTACGATAAATGTCCCAAATCTTCAAATAGCGTTTTCCAATATAAACAGTCAACCATTGTCAGTTACCAAAGAAAGAAGTCGCTTACACGATTCTGTTAATATTACTACTGAACCGAGTAACATTGCTGTAAAAATTGGTAATGACTAATATATTAAATATTACCTATGTAATTCAAATATCTATAACCTGTTACATATTATAAAATGTATTTGACAGGTGGAAGGGAAATCACAATACCTGAAAACACTCCATGGTTTACTAAGTGGAGAAGGACGTTTTTACAAATTCAAAGTGTCTCAGACCACGAGTATACTAAACATTTCTTAGGATGTATCCTTTACAGAATTTAGTTAATTTTTAATTCAATATATTTTTAATCAAATAATTTCTTAACTAATATAAATTAGGTATTATAGTAATAAGCTCTTCTGATGAAGAACAAGTATCAATATTGACACAGCAAGTTCAACAATCAATTTTACCAAATCAAAATCAATCACCAAAATGGTTTCATACCACTATATTAAGATATTATGTTGTTTTACATGAAAGTCTTAATCCTGATTTGACTATGTAAGTTATTATACAACCCATTCAAGATATAAAAAAAATATATGGGAGGGGAGATTTCTTAAAAATAAATAATTAAATATGTTTATTGTAAATTTATATTAAAAATTAAATTGTATATTGTATATTTATTTATTTTGTAATATATTATTTACAAATAAAGGCATAACTTATAAATTAATCTTATATAGCTGTGTCGCAAAAAAAAAAAAATCATTGCAGGAAGAGAGGTGCTCATATTTGTATCTGATCAGTTTATCACTGTATATTATATTATAATAATGATGGTTTGGAACTTAGTTTTTGTACATTTTTTCATAGGAATTCTAAGATAAATTGATTTTGTAAAGTGGTGAAATCAATTACTAAGTTTTGCTTTGCATAATCACATGCATTTTTTAAACATTGTTTCATTTTGTGTAATTTATTGACATTTTTTTTAAATAAGATTAATATTTATTATTTTTTATTTCAGAGCTAATAAAATTATTGAAACATTACAGTCAGCTTATGGCCACAGTAGTTGCCATCTTCTTAGATTAAACTCATGTAAATATCCTAAAACTGAGTTAACTGAAGGAATTTGGGATTACTTGAATAATTCATTTAATTTAAATGATAGTATAGACTCTCAAGATCAGAGTGGAGAATTTGAAAACAGTTTGAATTCTGTAGATAGTTCTTTAATACATCCATTAAGTCCACAAGAATATAACAAAAGTTTGAATGATGAATCAAAAACGCACATTCAAAAAATATATGGTGCTTATTTAGACGAAAACGATCATAACAATATACAAGATTTGACTAAACATTTTGTTTCAAGATCACTAATACCTTATATTGAATCTCAAATACAATCTTTAAATGAATCGGTATACAATAATATTTTTGACCTAATATGATAATTATTATATTTATTTTTATTTTTATAGGTAACAAATAAAAAAGGTGTTAGTCGATCACTCTTGAGTGCTACCAAAAGATGGTTTAGTACAAATAAACCTACTGCAGCAGCTGTACCAGCTACAGTTATGTAAGTAATGCATAACTTGACATATTTTATCATTATAATATTTTAATGTGTTATCATTTATTTAGTTACACTAATGATTCACCAGAGCTTCAGACCCGACGTTTAGCAGATTTATATATGATTTTGGGTGCCTGGTCTCTTGCTTTTCCATTATACCAGGCTGCTAAAAGAGACTTTAGTGCAGATAATGCTTGGATGTTGTATAGTGGTGCTGTTGAAATGGCTGCTATTTGTGCACTGATGTGCCCTAGTGTATGTGATAATCGAAAAGCCATAGAATATGCTAATGAGAGTGTATTAACATATTTGAACACTTGCAGGTCTAAAGTATAATAACTTTGATGTTTATGTAATTTAAAAAAACTGGTCATTTATATTGTACAGGGTTCCACAATTTGCAACAAGAGCGACAATACTATTTTGTGAATTACTTGTCAGACGGGAAATGTATGGAGAGGCTGCTAAAATGTTTATTCAAATGACAAATGAAGACTCAGATTTACGTAGTGCTTTACTTTTAGAACAGGCAGCATATGCTTTTCTGAAATCACAAAAACCCCCAATGTTGAGAAAGTATGCTTTTCATATGGTTCTGGCTGGACACCGATATTCAAAAGCAGCACTAAGAAAACAGTCACTAAGCTGTTACCAACAAGCTTACCAGGTAGATTTCTTTTATAAATTAATAAAACCATTTTATAATTAGATTTTAGGTAAATATTATTTTCTCGAGGAGAAAGATTCTTAATTCTTTATAAAATCAATTAATCTTAGAATTTGTGAATATAAGTTATGGCTAAAATTATTTGTATAAAATAATATAAATATTTTTATTGATTTTAATACATGGCTACATGGGTTATTAATATGGTGTGCTCCAAAAAAATATTTATTACTATCATTCTACATTCCAATCATTATTAATATTTAATAATATTTCTTAATTTGAATCTCTAGGTAAAAATTGCATTGGGTTTTATTAAAATTTTATAATCTGTTTCTGTAATGGGAAACCTAACCGACCAAATCTGATATTTTTATAATTATAAATTATAAGTAGAAACCATAGATATTGTTTTATGTAGTACATTTCAAGTGTTTATTGTTATTAAATGGGTATTGTAATGAATGTTTTAAATTTTAATTCGATAATTCATTATAGTATATAGACAAAATCCTGAGCAGAGATGTGGTGCTAGCCTTTATTCATCTTTATGACCATTACAAGTAGGTTGATTCCATTTTTATCAAAAAAATGTTGCATAAATTATATATGAGTAAAAACTGACATACAGAGAATAGTTTAAATAGGTTTGTGGTATAAATAAATGAAAATGAATCTAAATATTGTCATTAAAAAAAAAAAATAATAGTAACATAATATGTTATTGCATAAAGTTTCAAGTATTATGCTAAATATTTTTTGAATTACAACAAAATAAAAATTGCTGTTCTGTAAATATTCCTATTTTTTTTTTTATTTTTCCCATTAACATCTTTGTTATAAATCATGTTTGAGCATACTTGTTGTGACATTGAAAAAATTGGGATTTAAAAAAAATCTTAAAAATTGAAAAAATTAATTATCAATGTACAACAAGTTCATACTTATGAAATAAATACATATATGAGACGCTAACAAAAAATAATAGTTTTATTGTATAACTAAGTAATTGTAAAGAATATAAAACATGACACATAATATCAATTGGTGTCATTTTGCTGCAAATGCGAACAATGTTGAATAATGCCAGCCATTTAGGGTCATACGCAATAAACATATATAGAAAAGTATGGGGACATTTGACCTTTCAAAGTATATATTAGATTCAATTTGTTATCAACAAACACCATTAAAGTTGAAGATTGAAGCATTTTAATTACTCTAAAAGGAGAGTAAAGAGAATACTCAAACAAAACTTCACTATTATTAAACCATTAAGTTTACCGATTTAAAATTTATTATATAATTTATTTTATTTTTTTTAAATTTAAATTGTTTAATTTTTTGTGGAATACTAATTATTGTTATATATTTTATAGGTTTTTGAAGATACACATTGGATATTAGCAGAAGACCATATACAAACAGCTATTGGTAGACAAGCCATGTTTTTAAAACATATGAAACAAGCTTCTGAAGCCTATTCCAAATTGCTGGCAAGAGCTTCAAGTCAACCACCAGAACAACAGTCCACTATACTTAGAGATTATTTGAACATCAAATTGGTATAATAATTGGTATTTTCCATATTTACATTATCTTAGATGGATTAACCTTTGTAGGAATATGCAGCAGAGAAAAATGACTCATCGATCATTGATCTAGCCCTACCTCTCATAGATCAGAAAAGAATCAAAATATTGCTGAATGCAGACAGTATAATAACTAAAGAACATAGTTTTGATGAAGACTTGTTGGATACTAGGTGGCATAAAATGGAAGAAGATTTAATTACAGAAGCTCGTGGAATACCACCATTAATATTTAAGCCAACACTTGCTTTCTATGGTAGCAATGATACAATAAGACAGTTATTGTATGTAGATGGTAAGATATTTTTTCTTTTTTATTGAGTTGAAGATGATAATTTATGATGGATTATACTTATATTATAATGTATAATGTATATTTTATCAACAGAATTAGTGCAAGTACAAATGACATTATCAAATCCATTAAACATATCTTTATGCATTGAAAACTTATCATTGACATATTCTTTTGATAAAGAGTTAAATTTAGTTGAACCTCAAGTACTTGATGAACTACTTTTAGCACCTTCCAGTACAACACAAGTAGCTTACACTTACAAATAATACAAATAATAAGTGTTAAATAACATTTTTAAACATTTTTTTTTTATGTATTATTAGGTTATTCTTGGACTGAAAACAAAAAGTACTGGGATTCTATCTATAAATGGTGTTCAGTTTAGCTTATTGATTCCATCAATTATGAGTGATGACACAGCCAAGAAAGTAATAAATGGTTGGCAACGTTTTGAAATGTTAAGTCCTATACAATTCAATGTTCAACCACAAACTTCTTTGATGAAGGTAGATTATAAACTATTTATTATCAATTTGTTATAATTAAGGATCGGAACTTCATATATGCTCTATAAAATCATAAAAATATAAAATATGTGTTTATTTTTAATTATTTACATTGAAATAGTCAATAAATGTATAAAAATTCACATTTTATTATGAAAACTTTCAAAAGTAAAAAACAATAAATTATATAAATTTAATTTAATTTCTTTGTGGGTATGGCTTATACATAATACATAAATGCAAAAAGTGGTGTCCCAATAACAGCTGATTTATAATTATTAAAAAGAGGAAAAAGTTCATGGGTAAAGTCAAGAGTTACAGGTTTTTAGTAAATTTATTTTATATTCTGTATAAAATTCAGAATGACACTCCAATTATATTTATAAAGTCAAAAATTAGTTTAATATAGATTTTCAATTTTTTGTATAAATAATATTTTTTTAGTCATAATAATTATTAATCAATTTTAATAAGTATAAATTTTGAATTACATATTAATTATAATAATATTAAATTTTAAATTTTAAAATCATTTTAGTGAAAATGTTTCTAAGCACTTTATCTGAAACATTGCAAATAGTTGATTATACATTTTTGAAGCATAAATATGTGCATATCTTACCTTATTTTTTACATACAAATCAAGTTCGAGTTATTTTTTTGAACTTTTTTTAATCAAACAAAACAAGTAAATAAAATTCTTATTATTCTAGTCACTAAATTATAGATATCAGTATCAAAATATAATTGAGTTATTTACATTATGGTTATTTGTTTTTTTTTTTAATTTTTCAGTACCTTCATAAAAGAAACTGAAAATATTTTTTTTAATAATCTTTTATATCTTAGTTATTTTGATATGTAATAGTCTATTCATGTTAAGAGTAGTATATTGCAGCTACCTTATGCATATGAAGTGTGGCTTCATTTTTACTTGCAAGCGTTGAATGACAACAGGTGGTCCACTAAGAAAGGGTAAAGCGTCTGACTGTAGCCAATGCAATATTGTTGCAGTCAAGTATTTACCGTTCTTATAGTGAATAGAATATAATTGAAAGTTAACAGGAATCATCTAATAATTACATTATACTTTAAATTTTAAAATAGAATACACAAACATATTTCTTGTGATAATAATTTTTTTTTTTTAAAGTTTGAAAAAAAAAAATCTATGCACAAAGTAAACCATTATGTTGCAATCTTATAAATTATAATAATATAAATAATTTAAATGATATAAGAACAATTGTGTGGTAAATATTAACTCTATGCATGTAAATGCAAATTAGCAGTAGTGTATGTTGGAACGGTTAAGTATTAAACATGATTTGTAATATTTTGTTTAGTTGTATAAAGAAGACAAATGTTGTTTAAAGTTGTCACATTCAAATTTTATTCTACATCAGAGATGATCAACAAACATATTCACCTTGAATAATTTTATGTTTCGGAACATTTAATAAACTTTTAATAAATATGTTTATTTTAATACTTTTGTATTGAGTCTAAATCTAATATGTGTATATATAATTTTGTTAGCAGCCCTTGGAATTATAATTTACAAAGTGGCCTACTAGATCATTTGAATTGATTATCCCTGTTCTACTTAAATATAATATTATCACTTCCATAATATGAAACAAATATGTCCATTAATCATTCAGAATTTATTAAATCATTAATTAAATACATTCAATGTTATATAGTGATATTAGTCAATTTAATTTAATAATGTAAGGTATATTTTTTTTGGTTTTAGGTTGATTTTATTGGAAATCAAATTAACACGTTAATTGGTGAAATGAATATAATAAAATTAACATTAGAAAATGCTGGTGCAGTACCATTGCATAAAATTTATGTGTCAACTTCAATCGAAGATTCATTTTTTTCAGAATCAAATGATTCTTGTAAAAACAAAAATATTCGAAGTTTATTAATTCAAATCCCTCCAAATTCAAAAAAATCTGTAGAATTCTGCTTCAATAGTCCAGACACAGAAAAATTTAGCCTTGACTTGTTATTTTATTATGAATCTCAAATCGAAACTAAAAAGCAAGAGTACAAATTATGCAGAGCTAGCTGGTTTATGACGGCAAAACCTTGTGTAAGGTTATCTGCTTCAGCGTTACTCGCAAACCAAAACAGTGAAACACTTAATCTAAAAACAATTGTTCATAATTTGTATAAGGTATAATTTTTTATAATTTTTTTTTTACCTTTCAGTTGAACTTAAATTTTTATTAAACCATAATTTCAGGGAAATGAAGTTGAACAGGTAAAACTCAAACAAGTATTCTTGTACAGTCCAGAATGGACACTATCCAAAAAAGTATATCCACAAGGAAGTATAAAAAATTTGGATCAACAACAGTCATGTCATTTATTCTTGCAAGCTTGTCGAACAAATAAAAGTGGTATCTCTAAAATTAATTTTGATAATGAACAATTTCCACATACTGATATGTGTGAAAAATTTGTCACAATAACAAAATCATCATCAAAAGAAATCAAAATGCCAAAGTTTGATAGACATAAAGTTCAAACAGAGGTGATAAAATGTATTGATCTCGTTTTGGCCATTTTATGGCAGGTAATGTGATATTTTTATTTTTATTGTTTCATTTTTTTAATTATTATTTTATATTTAGGTAGTAATCAAAGATCATTCAAATCAATTGAGAATTATATGTGGCATTCACAGGGTTGCTTTGACAAAATTAAATTTAAGTGTTGCGTGGCCTGAACTCGGATGTTTAGATGCATCAAAAAATATTGCCAAGCCAATAGGGAGATTAAAAATATTTGGACCTGATCGGAATATACATCCATATGATGGGACACCTTTACCTAATGATGTAACAGGATTGTTAGAGTCACCCATGAATCGGTTGCTCAATATTGCTTTTTCGCATTCATGTACTGTTTTACATTCCTTTAATGACAAAAAGTAAGATTTTTGTATTTAATTTTTTTTTTTATTACTTATAACTAGGGCTAGGATTTATATGTAATAAAAAATTGTAAAATATGAATTTGGTTTATTAAATATATGCAAATGCAAAAATACACAATTAATATTATTTATGTCAAACCATATTAAATATGCACAAAAAAAAAAACAAAAAATCATAAGGTTTAAAATTAATAAAATTATATTCTTAATTATTCACACTATTCAAATGTATTACTCAAAACAATTACATGGTGTTTCAAATTTTCAAAACTAGATAGTTTTCTGTTAAATCTTAACATGGGCGTAACTAAGATTTTAATCGAGGGGCAGTTGATAACATATTTTTGGTTAGTTTATCTGATGACCTTTTTTTTGTTTTTTTTCCACATTTTATTGTAAAATTTACATCGAATTTAGTTTTAAACTCAGAGAGGTGACAAGTCCCCCCCCTGCCCTTCTCTCTCAACGGCAATGAACCTTAATATAGGTCATTAAATAGGTATTTTTGAACAGTGTCAATATATACTGTTGCATGATAAAAACGTCTAGTAACGAAATATACCATAAAATATGCATTTTTGCATTTGTTTAGTCGAAATATGCAATAATATGCATTTTGTCCAAAATATGCAAAATAAAATCACCACTGTTTACCTCATCATGACGTGTTCGTTGATATTACTTATAAAAGTAATATTCAGAAGTTGCAAAAAAAATATTCTGTTGCATATAAATCCTAGTCCTACTTATAACTTTTAAGTTTTAAGTAATAACATTCTAAGTTATAAAAATTTATACAGATGTAATTATATAATTTTTTTATTTTAGAATGTGTATTATACCTATACTTATAATACTTAAGAACTGTGTTGAATATAAAATTGAAGTTAAAATAGATACTAATTCTGCTAATTGTTCAAAGTAAGTAACAAAAATATTTGTTATTTTTTCTTAGATATTAATCAATTTTTCAGATAAAATAAAAATATCAATTTCAAGTTATTTTACAAAAATATCTCTTGAATTGTTAATATGCTATAACTTTATTATCATTAATTTTAAACAAAAATATAATAGATTTTGTTTTTATAAAATTAGTAATATAATAATATATTTTTTTTTTAAATAATAACTTAAATTATCAAAATTTTTAAATTTATACATAATTTAATTCATTTAAAAATATTTAAATGTGTTTCTTAAAAAATGATTATATTAAATAATAAATAACTATAATTTATAATCATTAATTAATTTTCATCGAGATAGGTTGTAGTTTGGGGTGTGAAAATAAAGTAAAAAATATAGGTACCGATTTTAATTGTTGACATTTTCATATTGTTATTTTTGACTTTTTAATGTATATCTAATTAATTTTTTCGTTATTTACAGGTCGGATATCGATGATGAACATTTCTGTTGGATCGGAGTTATTAACCCAAAGCCGTTTTTATTGCCAGTGTCAGCGACACACGCTATTCGCTTATACGCTGCAGTTGCTTCTCAAGGCTGTTTTAAAATATCATCTAAACTCGATATACTGGCACGACCATATCCGCCCGCTCAAAACGCATTCCTATCCCAAATTGTTTCGTCTTCTTCTTTATTAGTTATTAAAGACCCCAAATCTGAGGTAACGAGTTAATTGTTACTACTTTACTTAGGTCTTAATCTATATGTTATATTTTTAAAAAAGTTATAATAAAAAAAAAAAATCATTTATTAAATTATATAATAATAAAAAAAAAATAAAAATATTAAAAGTTGGTAAAATATGTGTGATTATGACATTATGAGCATTGATTTTCTATTATACTGTCGATTTTGTCTTTGATCTCACCAAATTTCGGCCGTTTGGCAGGGTTGGAATGCCAGCACGCTAGCATAACTTCGTACAAACTGTAACAGCATAAGGTGGGCCTGGGCATACGGTAACCGCTACACAATACTTCGTATATCCTGGTCGAATGTATCGTCGGGTATGGAGACCCTCCTAACATCATGATTTCCCAAAGAAGTACGCCAAATGACCACACATCACTCTGGGTGGTATATAGCTGATATTTAAGCGATTCCATGGCCATCCACTTTACTGGTAATGGGTCACCACGGTTCAATTTCTGATAGAGGTTTTGTTCGTACACGTCCCTGCTAAGGCCGAAATCGCAAATCTTTATAGTGCGGTGGTCGCTAAGTAACACGTTCCGGGCGGCCAAGTCCCGGTGCACTACACGGTTATTTTCTAAGTACATCTAGAATTCATATCAAAATATACCGTGAGATATTATTATCTAAAAACTACTTAGATTAAATGTTACTAATATTAGTATTAATAAACTGGGGTACCTACTAAATAAACTAATAGGTGTCTATTAATGTAAACTGTAAAGTGCAGGCGCAAAAGACAGAGAAAGAGAGAGACTGTGATGGTTATTAAATAAAAAACATATTCTTCTTATGGTTTCCTTCGTTTCTTTTTTCGCTCATGGTAAGCACGTACCTAATATTGTTACATTGGCACAAATATAAAAAAACTGCTTCTGGAAAAATATGACTTAGGGATTTTACACGTTTACGACATTTTTTTTAGGGATCTTAAGGTTTTATCCTTAAAGGTTTTATTGAGCTTTAATCGTCTCAAATCTTAAACACTATTTACACCCTTACAGTAGTATCGTGGACACCTTATTAAATGGCTGTCCAAGAGTAAAGTATACAATCAAAATCACGTTGTCGTAACCGTAAGTATCGAAACGAGACAAATAATAATAAATAAGTGCATAAATGCATAATAATAGGAGTTGGTTCCTTACCATGCCGTTGGCCGCTTGGCTGGCGAAACGCAGTAAGTCGTTAACCGTGAGAAATACGTTTTCATCGCCGTGATATAAGTAACAGTTGTTGAAGACCATCGGCGGAGGACCTGACGCATCCTGCAGCGATTCAACTCCTTTGCTGTTCGACACGGCGGTCAGCTCTGACGGATCCGTCCGACCGACGTAAAAGTCGTTAGCATACCACGATTTAATGCTGACCTATGCAAGTTAATGCATGATGTATTTATTATGATAATAATGTATTAAATGGTTGACGATTTGTCACCGGTCTGCTGTACAGCGGGAGTGAGGTGGTGGATGTGGATCATTACAATGAATGACGGATGTGTTATATTCTGAGAGGAAACGATTTGTCTGTCTAAGATGTTTTGTATAACAAAATGTATATTTGTATTAGCATATTTCTATTAGTATATTATTATATACTTTTGTCGAAAACATTGCATTTTTCATATTTTTAATACTTAAAAATATATATATATATATATTTATATTATTTTTAGTAAATGTTTAGTCTATACCATCTTATCGTAGAACGATGCAAAAAGTCTATGGTATAAATATTAAACAATAGCATAAAATGCATAATCGAGTTTTTTTAGAAAATGTCATTGTTTATGTTTAAAATAAAGTAACAGAAGTTCTTAAGGGTTTCAAATTCCCATTTAAATTAAAACGAAATTATTAAAATTGTTATTTTTCGTTAAAAAATCTTTTTTTTTCCAAATTTAATTTTCAAATATCTATAAAATAAATTATGCCCACGTATCTTTAAAAATAACTTTGAGGAACGCTGTAGTACATTTTTCAATCATAATTATAAATATTATTTCGTTTTAGAATTCGTCAAAATTCTAACTTTAAAAAGTTTAATTACACATTTTATTTAATAAAATCAAAAATGTCAAGTATCAATAAGTAGGTCAAACAGATTTAAAACATTTGAAAATTATATCATGTATAAAAAATACTTTTATGCTAATATAAACCTTAAACATCTACAGCTAATTTTTTTTTAATTATAAAAAAATTTAAAAAAATTGTTGCGTAAAAATCCTGATTTTTTGAATTATTAGGAAGATCACTGAGTACTTTTTACTTTTGATTTTTTTAAGTATCAACTCGATTCTATCTTCTAGTTTCTTATAGATATTTAAATTGAAAGTTCTAGAATTTTTACATAATTTGAAAACAAAATGCTTATAAATAAAAGTTGTACCTATGCATTTTAAATGTTTTTACATATCTATAAGAATAACTTCATAATTTGTTCTTAATTTTTAAGTTGATTGACTGAGTGAAAATTTTTTTATTGAAATTTATGTATAAATAAAACAAGAAAACATTTCAAATTTTAAATGCCTATAAATAACTTAAATTATTGTTAGATAGAGAGAAACCTATATTGCAGGGGCGGCCAAACAGTCGATCGCAAACGATTTTAAAGTCGATCGTGCTAGAATTTATTTTTAGGCTGCGCTCACAAAAATTAATTATGGTGGTATAGTAACTTAATAATAATAAAAACTTTTTTATCGAAGTCGATCCTCAAAGGTGAAGTATATTTTTAGTAGATCGCAGCCGAAAAAAGTTTGACCGTCCCTGCTATGTTGGCTATACCGAGTATATTTCCTAAATGGCCTAAATAGGTATATAGGTAACTAAAACTGTCACAAAACGCAAAGTAACAACAATAAGAAATGTACCTAAAAAAGTTGAAAAAATGTAAGTACTATACATTTTTCGAAAGACTAAGGAGGTATGTTTTCAATTTAATTAAAAATTATTACTTAACTATTTCTCATATTTCTGTATTACAAACAGAACTATAAAGAATACACATGTTGAAGTAAGAGTTCATTGTATTTCAATAGTTTAATAAAATATCATCTTTACATAATATAACGTACGAGCCATGCTGTATTGTATCAAATGAAGTTAAATAAAAAGTTTAAAGAATGCAAAATTAAGTTCAAATTGCTCATTTTCTATATTTTATAGGTGTTATGCATTAATTACGTGGGACACTAATATTGATAACAGTGCATTCTAGTGGTGAAAATAGCTGAATTGATTTATGTGTCATTTTTTTTCTGTGCTGGTTCACCGTATATAATATCTACTTAAATTATACGTTTTTAATAGCGCAATAAATTGTATCCGCAATGTTATCGCTGAAAACATAATACTATAATGGTAAGTATGTAAGATATTACATTATTTTAGTTAACAATAGCACAGCCACAATGGACATTATTGCATACGTAGGTACCTACTTATACACCTACCTAGTACCTACTATTATTGAATTACCTATATTAGATATTTATTTTAGAAATATTAAAAAAATAATTTTAATAGAAGCAACTAACTATTTTGATTCAATTTTCTAATCATATAGATATATATTATATAAAAAAATAAATCAAGGAACGAGAAAAAAATTAGTATAAAAAATACCAAACTGAACAAATTTCTAGATTTGATTTCGTGAAATTATAATATGCTATTGAAAAATCAATTAAAAACAAACAAATAATAGAAAAATATTGATGTTAGCTTATTAAAATGATAAAATATTAGTACACTCCCCCCGATATTTTAATAACGGTTACAGGCCTAAATCAAGAGTCGACAACCAGCTGCGGCCTGTGTAGCGATTTTATGCGGCCTGCGATAACAATTTATAATTGGTATAAAAATATAGAATATCACATTATGTTAGTTGATAACCTAACTTTGTAAATTTATACCACGTTGAATTAGTATAGGTACCAAACAGTGATGAGGCTTAAATAAATTAAATTAAAGTCTGTTTAAAATTTAAAACGTAAAATGTAATTAAAATAAGGTGTAGGTACCTATATGGCTATATGGTCCGTGAAAATTTATTTCATTATTTTTTGGCCCTTGACACCAAAAGGGTTGCCGATCCCTGGCCGAAATAATAACAACTAAATATTTTTGGGGTGTAAGCCAGGCGCGAATCCAGGAATATTTTTTTGGGTAGGCCAGTAAATTTAGTTAAGAATAATTTTCATTTAGTCATTAATATTTCAATAAATAGTCCAATACCTACCTACTAATAAATAATAATAGTAAAAAAAAATAAAAAAATATTGAGATACAGTTACGTGGAAAAATGTAATCTCCTTGACTTATCACGAGCAAATTAATTTAAAGCTTCGTCTGGGTTTTGTATTCACTCTTCACTGCTATTAAAATAAAATATAGGTAGGTATAGGTATATGCAATTATAGGTATGCCTTAACAAATAGTTAAAAAAAAAAAAACAAAATAAAACCAACCTATTCGGTTAGGTTACTAATAAAAATTCTAAAATAACGACTTGAATGCCAATATTGAAAATTAAAATTATTGTTTTTAAAAATTTTGGGTGGGCCCGGCCCAACCTCCGGATCCGCGCCCGGTGTAAGCCAGTTTACTTCCCGGCTTCTCGCGGTGACCCGGATAACTCTAAACGAACTGAGATGCACTCGGGTTACGTCGAAACCCGACCTTTTTATCTTCCGCGGGTCGCACTCCCGGAAAACTCCCGTTGGGCAACAACGCACGTCGACTGCGTTCATTACCTATACCTACCTATCAACCTATCCCAAATCCTAACGACGTCGACCTAACCTAACCTAACGCCGGTGGACGGACGACGCGAGTTTGTCGCGAAGCGTCAGCGCCGGTGTCCGCGCGCGTAATGCGTGTCGTACCTATAATATTATTATCACCTTTTTCAGATAGGTCTGCAGATCGCCCAGCTGACAGTACTCGACGACCAGCATGCACCGCCGGTTGGCGTCCAGACAACATCCGATCATGGACACGATGTTCGGGTGCTTGCCCACCTTCTGCATGAGCAGTATCTCGCGCAGGAACTCGTCCAGGTCCCGGCCGCTGGGCCGGTCCCGGAGCGACTTGACGGCCACCGAGCACACCCGGCCGTCGGCCGTCTTCAGCGCGCCCTTCCTGACCACGCCGAAGTGGCCGTGCCCCAGGAACGTCGGACACGGTGACCGCGTCGTCGTCCAGCAGCACGTCCACGTCGTCCAGCCTTGAGCAGGGCCATGTCGTAACCCTCGGCCGACGCGCCGCCCTGCCGCCGCCGCGGTGGTCCGCACCGGCCGCCGCCCGCCGGTGCAGCAGCTGGCCGACGGCCATCGCCCCGCACAGCGCCGCCAGCAGGCCGAGCAGCGCCACGGCCATCCACAGCGGATAGAGCGGCGTGCGGGCGGCCGCGGTCGCGCCGCGGACGTCGGCGGTGCGCGGCCGCCGCTCGACGACCGTCTCGTTGCTGTGGCCGAACCGCGAGCACGCTTGCACGCTCGCGAAGTACCGGTCGCCCAGCGGCACGTTCTCGAACGTCGCCACGTACACCGCGGCGGCGGAACCGTTCAGCGGCGACGGCTGCTGCTGTTCGACCGCCGCCACGTAGTCCTTGCCCGACACGTTCTTCGCCTCGTTGTCCAACTTCACCCTGAATAGTCCACCCCGGCCGCCCGTGTTCGGACTCTTCCAGTGCACCCTGACGTCGTATCTGCTCTGCCCTCGTGAAGGTGCTGCTGCGCGTCGATAGCGCCTCGGACAGCTTCCGTCGAACGGTTTCCGGCTACGCGACAACGCAATATTTTATGAGCGTATATTATGACGTGGACATAGGTAATAATATTATGTTACCACGGAATAAATGAAATGCGTATTGCCGGTGCACGTGCGCATATACGCTATACGATGCGATATTGATCGATGTGTATCGAGGGCGCCCATATGACGGGCAAGCGGGGATCTTACCGTGGAAAAACGTTGAAAAATTGCTTACGGATCTATACAATATATAGATAGACTTGACGGACTATGCGCGATAAGTTACACGGGAAAATTGATGATAAACGAATGAATACACAGAACAAGTAATAAATTACGTATAATATGTTTGGTGTTAAATAAATTTACAATTTTATTTGTAAATCAATATTTTAATAAATTTGTTCTATTAATCAAATGAAAATCCAATAAATTACTTATGGTTAATTGGTTAAATAATTATTATTCATATAATTTTCAGTTTGATATATATAAATATAATAGTACAATGTTAAATTGTAAACCCTTCCAAGGTAAATACGTAACTGAACGAAGTACATCAT